CCCCGGTCTCGCAAAGAGGCCCGCACGCATCGACTCGCTTCTGCGGCTCTTCCTTCACACTCGCCTTCCACAAAGGTTCACCTATATGATCGAAATTGGTCTCAGCAGTTGCGTGTGTCCTCTAGGGGGGTCGTTCCAAGCTCCCTGCTTGCGTCACAGGTGAAGGGTCCAAAGGACCTGACTTTCTCGGAGGTCAATCAGCGAACCTCGTCCATGGGCAAGTTTGGGGCCGATCTGGCCAACCTGGTCGGACAAGAAAATATTTTGGATGCACACGGTTTGTCTGACAAGGGGAACAAACGAGGACGTAATTATACACCAGAATCCGCGAAGACGATTGAAGAGGAGGACGAACCGCGACGGGCTAGCCCTCGCATCCGTCTCACTCCGTTTGCTGAAGGCAGCCCTACAGCTCAGTCAAGCTGAATGGGGAGGTTCAAGAGGGTTATTTCGGATATAAGTATACATATTAATTGTGAAAGGGCGTTGGTCGCATCGGATGATGCCGTGTGTTAGCTGGTTTTGTGTCGATTCATACTCGTTTTAGTCATTATATATCATCATCCCCTCCCGCACAAGAAGCATGAACAGATAAGGCGAAGCCCAGTACTATCAAGAACATGTTCCCATCCTGATGTGGGTGCAGCATGTGTAAGAACCCTCACACAGGATTTAGTCCCTTGATACTCCTGTATGTGAATGATTGAAGATGACGTGCGGTTTCCGCCTTGAGAGAGCATAGATCATCTACATGGTGCAGTAAGACGGAAGTTTGGTGAAGAGCCGGCTTAGTCAGTGGGCCTCCGAGTCCGGCTCCGGCTCCGCCAGACAGGTCTCCGCTCTGAAATGGACGCAAATGTTGCACAAACTTCCGGGCTCGGAAGGCCAAGAAGTGATGTCATATAGCCGTGGCGATTACGAAGCTTGGCATCTTATTGTCAGAGTTTTAATTTTTCGAGTCATGAGGAGGATGTTGGCTTATTGTTGAGGGGTGATGCAAACTCGGGGAGAAGAGGGAAGAGGAAGTGAGACTGACCCTCCCGGAGAAGAAAAACACCACACCATTGTATCTCGCCCGCCAAACCCAACCCATTCATTCCTTTGTACTATGTATAATAAATAATAACTGAATTAAAGGCCAAGACGGAACTAAATGAAGTAGTAGTCTACTAAAGCAGCTCATTTTATTTATAATAGAGGCCTTAATATCATTTAAAAAGATGGACAGTGAGCTGATGCTTAATGGTGTGTGGTGTTTTCCTTCGTCATGGAGACTGAGACGTGGGAGAGCCTGAGACAGTTCGGAGTGGTGGTACAATTGACAATTAGAGAGCGACAGAACCGTCAACACATGTGTAATTTGCCCCTGTTTTCCCCCAGAGTTTTACTGCGTCGCCGGTGTGCCAGTTGGATCCCATATGACGAGAGGGTGGTATTTTTCATGTTGCAGTTCGACGTACAGTGCATGCATGTGCTCTCGGTGCCCGAGACGCGAGGCGCGAGCTGCGAGTTACGAGGCGCGGACACGACCAAGCCTCACCCCCACAACCTCTCATCCACATCCATCTCTCTCATCGGTGAGAGTACTTTGGGCCCTAGTGACACGCACTGCTGGCTATACTACACTGCTCGCTGTACTATTGGATACCGCTCACGGTACAATGACGATGGCATATTGCAGAGCTAGATTTCCGATGTTCCCTCTCCAGCGCGTCCCGGGCTCCGGATCCCGCTGCGCTTCGTTACCACGATGAGCCCTCTGGCCAGGGACAAAAGGGGATACACAAGCCCGTTGCGCATCTGTTGATAAGGCAGTGTCCACGCTCTCGACTTGGCAGGCCGAATCTCTCGGTCTCGTCCAGGAGTCCGTCGGGGAGCCGCAAGAGGCCGCTTGTCCACGCTTACAGCATGCGCCCTTTTTGGCCGTGGGCTGGGCAGTCCTGCGAGCGCAGATCCACCCTGCATGCTTGGTGGCGAGCAAAGTTGGCTGTCATCACTTTAAGCCTGCCTGTGCACAATCCTAAAGGCGTGCTACAGACGAGGGGAGTGCAATAGGGGCCTTCAGTAGGGCCGTAGGGCCTTTCGCACTCGCACCCTTCCACCGGCGGAGGCTGGCCGGTGGTCCATGGAACCCACACCATGGGCCTCGGAGGCTGACCTCTATGTGCCGCTGCAGTCTCCAGTCTCACCAGTCTCACCAATGAGTCCCACGCGTAGCATGGGAGTGGCACAAGATGGTCGTGGCTCCCAAGACATTATAAGTTCCCCATCTCGGACCCCCAGTTGCCAAACATTGTGCCCCATCAAGCCATCCAAGCCCAGTCCCATCGAGATATCCCGTCAAGATATCCCACCAAGATGGCTTCTTTCATGTCACCCCCCGACTACTCCACGGCTGCCATGGGCAGGTCGCGACTGAGCATTCGCCTCCCAAAAGACACTCTGCACTCGTCTCTCATGGAGTCGTCGCAGCACTTCCACTTTGACCCTGAGACGGCTGTGCTGGCTCGCAACGCCAACGCCTGGCTCTCGTCGGAAGAAGATCTTGCCCGGCCAGCGTCCATCGCCCCAAGCAACTTCTCCACGCGGTCCCTTGAGTACAATGACTACCACGAGTCGACGAGGAACAACAGGGAGTATCCCGTGTTTGGGGACTCGCTCCGCTATTCACTCCGCTACGATAGCACGCGGCCGCGGACGGCGCCCAAGACGGAAAGCACTGAGAAGCTGACGCAAGGCGTTGTTGAAGACTCCGGCGCGATTCCAGGGCAGAGCAAGGATGATATCGAATATCCCACTGGCATGAAGCTAGCTCTCATCACATTGGCCCTCTGTCTGGCCGTGTTTGTCATGGCTCTTGGTTTGTGCCCCTGACCTATACCAGCACCCACCACCACTAACACAAGAGACAGACAACTCTATTATCGCAACGGCTATTCCTAAAATCACCGACGAGTTCCACAGCCTCAACGACGTTGGCTGGTACGGGTCGGCGTACATGCTCACGGGCGCTTCGCTGCAGCTCTTCTTCGGCAAATTCTACACCTTCTGGACCATCAAGTGGACCTTTCTCTCTACCGTCGCCATCTTCGAGGTGGGCAGCCTCATCTGCGGTGTCGCGGGGGACAGTGTCACCCTCATCATCGGGCGAGCCGTCGCGGGCGTCGGGTCCGCTGGCATCTTCGCCGGCGCCCTGACCATCCTCGCCTACACGGTGCCGCTGCACAAGCGGCCCGTCTACACCGGCCTGGTCAGCGGCATGTGGGGCATCTCGTCGGTGGCCGGTCCGCTGCTCGGCGGCCTGCTCACGGACAAGGTATCGTGGCGCTGGTGCTTCTACATCAACCTGCCCATCGGCGTCGTCACCATGTGCGTCATCGCCGTCTACTTCCCGGACCCGGAGCGGCACATCGAGCCGGCGCCGTGGCGCGTCCGCATGTGGCAGCTCGACCCCATCGGCACCGTCATCTTCATGCCCGCCGTCATCTGCCTGCTACTCGCCCTACAGTGGGGCGGTGTCGACTACGAATGGGACAACTCCAGGATCACGTCGCTCTTTATGCTATCGTCGGTGCTGCTGCTGCTCTTCATCTACGTGCAGATCCGCATGGGCGAGAACGCCACCGTTCCCCCGCGCATCTTCAAGAAGCGCTCCGTCTGGGCCTCGTGCTTCTTCGCCTTCAACACCGGCGCCTGCTTCCTCACCGCCGTATACTTCTTGCCCATCTGGTTCCAGGCCGTCAAGGGCTCGACCGCCATCGAATCCGGCGTGAGGAACCTACCCATGCTGCTGGGCGTCGTCCTCTTCTCCATGATTGCCGGCGGCATCGTTACCTGGTGGGGCTACTACACGCCCTTTATGATTGCTGGTGCCATCTTCATGGCCATCGGCTACGGGCTCATCTGCACCCTCAAGGTCGACACACCCTCGGCTGGCTGGATCGGCTACCAGCTCCTAGCCGGTATTGGCGTCGGCATCGGCATGCAGCAGCCGCTCGTCGCGGTGCAGGTGGTGTGCGATATGGCCGACGTTCCCACCGGCACAGCCATGATCATCTTCGTGCAGACCCTCGGTGGAGCGCTGTGCGTGACGGCGGGCCAGACCATCTTCACCAACAAGCTCATCGAGAAGATCCAAGAGTACGTGCCGGACCTGGACCCAGCCGTCGTGATCCAGGCGGGCGCGACCAATATCCGCGAAGCCATCCGCGCCGAGTGGCTGCCCGACGTCATCCGCGCCTACAACGATGCGCTCAACGTCGCCTTCCTGGTGGGAGCCGCCACTGCGTCGGCAACGATTGTCGGCGCAGCCTTGACCGAGTGGAAGAGCGTCAAGGGCAAGAACATCGAGATGGCTGTGGCCTAAGCAGTGCCTTGGCCCTGACCACATATCTCACCTCTCTCTCACCTTGCACCAACCGTTCATTACCAGGTGTACATTCCGCATATAGAGCATACAGGCGTTGGCGGATTCTTTTTTTTTTTCTTTCCTTTCCTTTGTTCCTTTCCTGTTCCTGAGCGAGGTTGTGGCGGACCCTGAAGTGGATTGACGCTGGTAAGCTCCGCGTGGGGACGGAGGGTGTAGGGTAAAGTCGCGGAGATCAGACAGAGGTGCCCGGACACAACTCACAGACGGCCGGATGGGAAGATAATTCAGTAAATGACTTGAGTAATGACGTGAATAAATATCTTAAAGCATCAAATGAACTTTATGTAACGAATCTTTAAACTGTAAATGAAGTTTCAATTTTTTCGGCTGGATATTTAGTATCTACCGTAGAAAGTTGATAACCGGAATGAGTGATGAACACCATGTCCACCGTCTTCACAAAAGGGAAAACCATCTGCAGAGATAAGAACCAGTAGAAGGCGTATCGCTCTAACAATGATTGTCATTCGGCTGGGAACTTTCGAGCATGGTTGCATAACTTGGAGAAACCACCTTGTGTGGTAAAGGACTTAGTGCTGTATTAGATGACAAATCATCACAACAAGACACAGCCCTTATAGCTTAGGGGTAGAGCGTTGCACTTGTACGGCCACGAGGCATGCAAAGGTCGGCGGTTCAATTCCGCCTGGGGGCATCTTGTTTTTTGCCATTTTTTGCAAAGAGTTCTTTTTGTCCTTGGTCGGCGACACAGCTCTCTCCCTCCCCATAAGATATGACCAGGCGTTTTTACTTCTTGTGGTGAAATAGCGAATGCTGGTGTGGTCATTTCTTGTTGCCATGCTAGTCGTCTTCTGGTGAGAACGGCTCTCGGCGGCCGTTACAAGGGTTCTCGAGATTTGGTTTGTTTCTCTTTCTCATTTCCCATGTCCTGTACTTATTGAGATCAGTTCTTATACATTCGCGTCATAAAATGGTTTGCATACTGGGCAAGTCTTTCAAGCGATATTTTTTTTAGAGTGTCTCTCTGACTAGGCAACTGATTGTGAGCTCAAGGTCCGCTCGGTATTTTGCGGTCAATTTATGACTTTCAAATGATGCATTCATTCATGGGAATTCTGTGTCAATCTCGTCCTAAAGTTATCGATGCATCGCTGACAACACAATCGCCAAGGTCATTACAAATATGTCCGACTTTCCACAGAGTCCCTTAGACGGCATTCAGCTCCACAAGTCACTCCGTCAGAGCCTCAGAGGTGTTGCAGTGCGGGACCTTGGGTACTACTCAACCTAGATACCTTGAAAATTTCGTGTCTCGTAATTAACACTAAAAAGTGTTGAGTGGAGACGTCGATAGGTGAGTTTGCGATATTGAAAGCCATGGTCAGCACTGGGTCACTCGCTGTTTGCGAATCATTGGCCACATCTGGTGTTTTGAGGTGCGCATCATCTACAGTCCTGCGGACGGCGAATCACGGACTGCGGGTTATTTTAAAAAAGTAAAACAAACCGCCTTAAGAGCTATAGGTGAAAGTAGCTTGTACAAGCTGGAGAACGCAAGAAACTGCAACCTTGAATCGTCTGGATTGACAAAATGTCGATGATTTGAAAGGAGGTTACGGCAGTGGAATATAATTTATATTTGTTTGGCTCCTTGACATCTAACAGGCTTCATGGTCTAGTGGTATGATTCGTGCTTTGGGAATATATCTCAGCTGCACGAGGCCCCGGGTTCGAGCCCCGGTGGAGCCCTGAAAACTTTCTTTTTGTCCTTTTTTCGAGTTGCATCTTGTCCATTTTCATTCTTCTTGTCCTCTGGTTGTTATTGCCTTTGGGCTTTGGGCGGGTAGACGTTTGTTTGGTTTCCTCTTTTGGGGGGTGGGTGGGCGACCTCCTGTTAGGATGCCTTACTTTAATCATTCTTACCGCATGTCTGGCTGGATCTCTCTCTTTCAAAGAGCATTAACACAAGACGGCTTTCAATTAACATTCTCAAATTCAATGCTTGGTCATATATACCCTGTTGATAAACGGGATTGCTAGGTCTTGGAAAGTGCACTTCCGTTTACCGGTGTTGCAGGCGGGCTTTCGAGCAATGTGAGTCATACTGGACTGCATGACACACTTGGTGGCTGCGCGAACATTTCTCATCACCAACATGAATATGGCGATCCAGAAGCATAAGTATATCTAGAGTTGTTTTGACTCTTACTAGATGTGCCTCTGAATGAAGATCTTCAACCCCCACCCGCGCATACAGAGGCATGCTGATGTTAGGTGCTAGGTAGCCACTCCACACCACAGACCATCAACTTATCGTCTATCTTATATGATATTAAGGCATAAATTATGAATTCTCAAGGCTACTTTAGTAGAACATTGGCCTTACTGAGTATGGATTGACCTCTATATATCCTATAATTCAGTGATTACTTCCTTGATGAGCGAATGGGCTGGAGAAGTAGGTTAGTGTGGTGCTTTTCCTCCCCCGGAATGTAGCCCAGTCATATCTATTCAGGTGCCGAGCTGAAATCGCCACCTCCCTCCGCGTCGATGCTACAACCTTCCACATTCAGATGCACCACAACTTCAAACTTTGAACCTTCGACTCACGTTCGTAAAGCGGCTTAATTCTCTATGCATATTATCCCGATTTGCTTATTCGATTATGCCCATTCTGACCGCCTTCGTAGTATCGAAGGCGATGGTGGCTGTCGGGCGATTTTAGGCAATGAAGCGGGTCAGGTTGGACTGTGGATCAGGCCAGGGGGCTACTGGCCGGGAAGTTCAAAAACGGAAGTTAGTCGCAGTAGGCGATGCACCAGAGATATCATCATCATCAACACTGTGATGGAACGAGACCTTCCAGTGAGGTAATGGTGATGTCCTTCTCTTTTAATATTGTATTAATACTCTTTTTAATGATATCCTCTTCTAATGCATCATTGCCTTGCCCATTGCTGCAAAAATCCTCTTTTCCGTCATTTCTGGTGTCGCGCATCTGTCCATCTCAAACCCTCACCTCACTCTTAGGCTGCAACCCGACATTCAAGCCTTGCCACCTTCCGCATCCAAAGACCCATTGGATAGAGTGTCTAATTAGACACTTTTCTAACTATCCCGAAGTCCTTGGACTGTCTACCTCAAACGCGGTCGTGCTACTAGCAGCCGCTACCTACTCCGTTGGAGTAGGCTGGACACCTTCCTCTGCGACTTGCCCCCGACATCCGTGAGGGATAGCTATCCAATTGGGGTGTGGTTATCCTCGTCCGCTGTGGTCGTTTCAGCAACAGTTGCTTGCCGCTTACTCCATACCTTGGATCACACTTTGTAACATTGCTGCGTTGACTTATTTGCCTCATAATTCAAAATGTTGTGCGAGTTATGCCAGAACATTGACTTTGATCAACTGCGGCAGGGCCCTGATGATTTTCGTCCTTTCACCCGCTCTGCATACCTTCATCATCGGACCTTTGCAGAACTTCAAAATTGCACCAGCTGCGAATTTTGTTGCCAAATCAGGAAGACCATATCTCGAACGCTGTGGAATGACCAGCTTGGGGATACTTGGAAGGAAGAACAGATCTACATGAGTTTGAAGAATAACGATCCAAGGAGAGGAGGAGGCGACAGCGGCGATCGTATTCTAATATATACGATCCATGACCCAGATGTCTCGCGCGAGAGCTCACCAGGAGAGACATGGACCGACGGTCGGGTGCTGGCGCATTTCTATGTTAGTCTCGAAAGAACCCCTCGCGAACTGGAAACGGACAAATTGTAAAGGACGTGAACTTTCTCAAACGCAAACACATAGCTGACCCAAAATAGAGACCAATCTAGGCCAGCCGCTGCTTCGGGAATTCGGAGACGACTCTTGCCCTATTCGACTGGTTCCGAAGAATGCTTTGCTCTTGCGAAAGGGTGGCGAGACCGATGTGTAGCACAGTCCAAAGCTGGGCAGCATGGCAACCAGCCCTTTTGGCCAAGTAGGATCATCGACGTGGGGCCATGTGACGGCTCGATGGAACCTCGCTTGAAGATTCATTCTCAAGAAGAGACTGATGATTCGATGGAATGGGTAACATTGAGCCATTGCTGGGGTGGTGAGTCGCCTTTGAGGACCACGACGGACACAATCGAACAGCGCCTTAGAGGGATTCCGATGGACACGCTCCCAAGAACTTTCGCGGATGCTGTCATCATCACGCGAAACCTGGGATACCAATACCTATGGATCGACTCATTGTGCATTATACAGGATTCTATCGCAGATTGGGAAGCAGAGTCTAGTCGAATGGGGGCTATTTACATGAACTGCGCTATGAATATTGCGGCAGCACAAGCTAGCAATTGCTACGATGGAATCTTCACCGACCGTTGGGTGGAGTTTGAAGCCATAAAACTACCGCTCAAGAGCAAAGGGCTTGAGATAGACGACTGGTTTTACGTCACGCAGCCAAATTATCAGCTCGACCATGACTGCATTGTGGGATACCATAGCAAGCTTGGGCGCCGTGGCTGGGCTCTTCAAGAGCTTGTGTTATCGCCACGGACTCTGCACTACACGCGCGATCGAATCTATTGGGAATGTGAACACTGCATCAAGGAGTCAGGTTCCATCATGCCGCTTTACTCGAGAGAGAATCCGTTGTTGCGACAAGTGACGGCAACACAATTTGTCTCCCACAAGCTGGCGTTACCACCGTACTTGATGCAACGACAGCCACTAAAAGGACCTCTGCAGATCAAATCTCTTACTCCCACCGAGAGGGATGAGTGTCATACTTCGTGGCTGCGACTTGTCCAGAACTTTTCTTGCAGGTCGCTGAGTATCGAGTCAGATGTCCTTCCCGCCCTGGCTGGGATTGCGGCCGTGTTCCAAGCAAGACTTCAGGAGCCCTACTATGCTGGCATATTCGGTGGAAATATGATAAGCAGCTTGCTTTGGCGGAGAATTCCTCCGAGTCTCTTGCGTGATAATGATATATGGCTCACAGAGCATGGCCAGTCAATGGAACGGCGTCAAGGGGTAGAAATCCCGTCCTGGAGCTGGGCTTCAATTTCGGGCCCTATACAGTCAGAGACATTTGTCGACGCCTGGTTCAGTCGCCCATGGAATCTTATTGGTTCCATGACAGCCACAATCGTTAGCTGCGAGACATACCTCCCATCTGGGCTTACGGCTTCCTCTCACCATACGATTGGAATCAAGGGAGGTCTTCTTTCAATACAGGGTTGTGTGTCGCAAGCAGGGTCTCTATCTGACGCCTCGTACGGCGCCATCCTCTTGGCCGGTGGTCGGGATGCTGAGTGTCGAGAAGATGACTACGACGGAAATACCTTGCGAAAGTGGATGACTGAACTCAAGAAAGCCTGCCTCACAAACACTCATCCGTGGCTTCCCTGGACACATTATAAAGAGGAAGTTGGAACGCGCGACAAAATTGGTTGGAGAAGATGTACATCTTCCTTTGACGAGACACCAGCGGCTACGGGAAGGTTTTGTGTTCTGCATTTGGGCAGTTGGTCATCACAAGGCGACATCGATACTGTGAACTCTGAGGAAGGTGTTCGATTTTTCGATAGTAAGCTTTGCGGCTTGGTTCTCGAAGAAGTTGACCAAGAGCGGTTGGTCTATCGTCGAGTGGGAATGACGCGAGTGGACTTGCGCATTGTAGATCCAACTCACCGTCA